TTGAAGTGTAGTTCTAGTGATTTGCTTTTATGTAAAATTATGTAAAGTGCCTGAGCACCAATTGTGTGTGAGGGTACTACAGAAATATTTATCATTGTTGTTCCTCCATCTTCATTTGAAGAACCCCAGCAGGGAACAGCACTTGGTTGTTATGAATCATGACATGTGTTAGATGCTGAAGTACATCATGCAATTATTGCCTGAACAATGTGCTGTGTCCCCTCCCAGCACCTTGTGTGATGCCCTCTCAGGCTTCTGTATCATGGAATGGGTCACCTGGGCAGCCTGGAACATCATGTCATGCAGAGGTGGCTTAATTTGGGATAGTCTTGGACAAGATTTATTGAATATGGGTCACCATGGTCCCTGCCTGCTTCTGATTTTGATGCTGCTATGGAGTCTCTGGACTCCTCTACTGGCTTGTATGGATTAAGATGGCACAGTGGCCACACCTGTGGGCTTTATGCAAATGGCGGGGCATGCTCAGCTGCAGAATTAGCTAGACAGTAACATTTTGAGTTCAGTTACTGTATCTTGGATAGCGAATATTGTGTCCCTTTCGACTTATTTATCAGTGAGTCTGTCAAGGGTGGGGAGAGGTACTAAAAAGATCCAGGGCACAGGACCACAGAACAAAAAATGGGATGCACATTTGCATATGCTAATTTGCATACCTTCTATGTGTATTTTTAAGGCACCCTGCCTTGCAAGACTGCCTTTCTTGTCAAAAGGCATGGATGGAAAGGGGAAAGGAAGGCATATGATTTCAGAAAGTTTTGGGGTTGCAGCGGGAGATGAAGCACGTGTGGACAAAAATGCAGCTAATCCAGGGGGACTGAATACCACAGAGATGACTTTATTTATTTGTGTGAGGTTTTATTTACCATTCGCACTAGCCAAATGGCTCTCCAAATGGTCTACAATACAATGGTTACACCAAGCAGACATCTCCCTCTTGTGCATGAGTGACTCTGCTTTGGTTATGTAAGCAACAACGTCCACAGTCTGAACACTGGAAATAGATGGAAGGAAAATGGATCCTGGTAATGTACAGCTAGCTTCATATTTCCTTTCAAAATATCTATCCTCAGTGCAAAAATAACTCATCAATTTGGTCATGATTACCAGATTTAACACTTTCAAAAGCTACTCACCAAGCTAGGTCACAGTGGAAAAGTACAAGAAAATAAATACAATATTCTGCTGAGTACAAACTGCCCTTTCATGATGAGGCTTCCTCACTTTTCCTGGATTGAAGGTATTTGCGTTGAGCCAAAAGAATCACACATGCAATAGGATGTCTTTTCCCCATGTTGTTTCAGTGCTTGATATAGAGCATAATGAATTGTGATAAGCTTCGTCCTAGCCAGAAAGAGATTAGATATAAAGATCAAAGCTGGGCAGAGTCGGGTAGAGAGAATGACTGTGGGTGGGAGTGTGAGGTGTTGCCACAGCTGTGGGAAAGACTGGACTGGAACATCTCTTGCCAGTTTCCTCAGGTCTAGTGGCAGATGCAGATCTGCACAGGGAATTTTGTAGACAAACAGCAGGAGCTGCTACAACTCTAGATTAAACAAAATTGATTGAACACAAGTTGTATAGGAATTCAACAAGAAAGGTAAGCTCATGGATGGAAAGATCTGGGAAACCCAGGGAACACAATATTGAGCTTTTAGAGTGAAGACAGGGGATTATGAGCAGATAAGCTCTGTGTTTTGGATCTTTGTCACTGATAAATCCTGTGCTGTTGACAATTGGATTTTGCTAGAGGCAGATATTTTTAAATGCTGTTGCATTGCTACATAAGCCACCTCAGTGTGACATGATGTTCCAGGTTGCCCACAGGATAAGAGATGGCCCATTCCATGATGCAGAAGCCTGGGAGGGCATCACAAAAGGCACTGGGAGGGGACACAGTGCATCGTTCTGGCAATAATTGTGTGTTATACTTTGGCACCTAACATGTTTTATGTGTTTCATAACAACCAAGTGCTCTTCCCTGCTGAGGATCTTCAAATGAAGATGGGAGAACAACAATAATGATAAATATTTACGTTGTGTCCCCACACACAAATGGTGTTCAGGCACTTTAGATGACTTCACAAAAAAGCAAATTCATTAGAACTGACTTCAAATCCATTACAAAAATGTTACGATGAACAATACCGAAATGGAAACCAGCACTGGAGGCTGTATAGCAAGGGGATGGCATATAAAAACTTTAAACAAACAAACAAATAAATGTTCCAAACTAGAGTTAGGCAAGCTATTTCCTGCTAGATGACTTTGATTACAACTCTCATAAATCCCTGCCGGGATGGCCAATGTTTAGGGTTGATGGGAGTTTTAATCTAACAACTGCATGATACCGCCTCCTGTTTTAAACTGTGTGTGGAAGAGTAACTTCTAGAGGCTGCTTTGAAAAGACAGGATGGACATTTGGAAGGAAGGCATTGCTATGTTATATGGATTCTAGGATATCAAGAGCCCAAATGCTTGTGGACCTGAGAACTTCTGGTGAGATTCCACAATGGTGGATGATGGGTGGGCACAAAGGAAATGGTCAAAAGTACTGGAGAAGTAATGTCATTGCAGCCAGGATGTGGGTGGCCAGTGAGAAGTGCAACAGAGGCACCAGGACCTCAGGAAAGACAGTCCAAAAGCAGGGTCAAATGGAAAGTCCAAATCATGGTCAGGTACAGGCCAAGGTCAGGCATCAGAAGTATGCATCGGGGCAGAGCCAGGGCATGGACAGGAACAAGCCAAGGGTTGAGAACCAGGAGGGCACACAGCAGTGCGGGTACCTTGGACAGGTAACACAGTGGGAAACATGACAACATGGAAAGGTAGGAACCAGGAGCAGGAATGGCCTGCACAGCAGCAGGCAGGCAGGCAGGCAGGCAGAACTGTGCTGCTGAGGCCACAGGGCAGGTGCAGGGGCAGAAAGACTTGTACTACTGAAGCCAGTTCTGGAGGGAAGAGCTTGCTGTTATATAACTCTTCCCCCAGGATTCCCAGCTGGTGCTCATCAGTAGAATGAGAGCTCCAGCAGGCCTTGGGACTGATCCTGCAAATACAATGACCACCAGAACAGCCCAGGCCCTGACTGTCATCACCTAAGGAATGCTACATTGGTCTTTATCCTCCTTCATTTCTCTTCTCCTTTCCCATCCATCTCCACTGATCTGATGTCTAAGAGGCAATGCATGCCATCTTCAGCCCTGACCCCAGACTCTCTCATAATACATGTCCTATTCGGGAATACAAACAAATTTACACTTATTTGTTTGAAAATCTAGGCTTTCTTGTACCCTGCAGATGGGCTAGATTATAGCTCCTATCATCCCCAGCCAGCCAAGCTGTCCAACCATGATGGAAGTTTTATTGCCCTCTGTAAAGCAGGGCACATGGTTCCTCACCACAAGGGACTTAGCAGGCAGCCTCAAATTCAAGGCTGGATGAGTGCAGAACCACTGAAAGGTCCTGGTGTCGTTGCCTTTCCCAGGACAGCTCAGCAGTTTTCCTCAAGTCAGAATCCAGTGGACATCTTGACCTTACCTCCTTTTGTGTGTTCTCTTACTTGAACCACATAACACCATCGCTGGCATTTCTTACAGTTCAGCCTCCAGTAATTATGTATTTCTGGATGACTTAAACAGCTGTTTGACAGGGCACTGGGCCAGAACCAGCAGTGCTTCAAGGCTACTGTGGTGAAGCCTTATGTCATATTCTTTCCTGTAACCTTTTGTCACCTTTTGATTAATCTTGTTAGAAAGATGCAGCATTCCATAGTTACTTATCTGAGAGAACAGAACCTTGTTTAAAAATGAAAATGACTGTATGTAATAGCACATCCTCCATTGGTATGTATGTAATAGCTACTGTATTAATTCATGTCGAGTAGGCATGTTATTTTCTTGAGTGTGCTGAATGTGTACCTAGTCCTAGAGCACACTAACCCATTCAACATACTGGTGTGACAATTTGCTTGGAAACTTGATCTCACAAATTTGTTAATACAAGCTGAAAGGTCAAAGTGACAGAAATTTTAGCATTTGCAATAAAGGATTACTTTGTTTAAATGTGATTTCTAGGTTTCAAGGGAATTCATAGAATCTTGGCCCAGAGTTTAAGCAACAGTTTTTGAAATGAGAGCCATTTGAATGAAGTGCTGTATTCACAGCGTGTGTAGAAAAACAATAAATTGACTCATAAATTGGATTGGGAAGGATTGACATGGTTAATTAAGCAGCAAGAAAAAGGATGCTCACAATAAGATGTTGGATGGGTTTTGGGGCGATGAAGGGAACAGATCAATCTTTTCTAACCTGGTGCCCTCCAGTTGCTTGGAACTTCAATTCCCATCACTCCTAGGCAGCATATTCACTGGTGAGGAAACCTGGGAGTTGAGTAAAAACAAGTGGAGGGCACCACACAAGGAAAGCTAGAACATAAGGTGTGAGGTTCCCATGTCTGAGAAGATTAGGTGCCAAGTTACACAACTGAAAGTGCAAATTGAGAAGGAGAATTCAGTTGATTATATCAATGCATGTGTTGCTGGCAAAAAGAGTTGTGTTCATGGTTCCAACTGTTGATATGGTTTAGGCCACTCTGGAGGACTAGTTGTCAGCCAAACTGGGTACAGAACCAGCCAACCCACACCCTCCACATACTAATTTGGTTTTGATGTAGCTAACTCTAGGTTGAGGGCCAGCTCATGAGGTTTCCCTGGCTGTCACTGAGACAAATCTGTAGTCGGATAGTGCTTCTGCTGCCAGAGGGGTCTGATATCCTTGCCTTTTAATCATAACTGTTCTTACGGAGCCAACTTGGAGTTATTCAAAGTGCTCAACAGAGCCTGGAACAAGGAGAACATTAGCAAAAGTATTTGTTGATCCAACATTGCTTACCAGTTTTCAAAGCAAAAACAGTCATGCTGGGCACTTGGTGGTGGACTGTTGTTCAGCTGTGCCTTTTTTCCTCCTCTCCAGGGGTTCTTATTTCATGCCATCATGGCAGAACATGGCTCCCACTCTTCCTCTGCTTGGCATTCGGTGAATCCGTCCACTCAAAACCCCACTCTGGAACATGTGGATCTGGGAATTAGTGAGCAACTGACCCCACTGGAGCAACCACCATCATCCCCAGACCTGGGTGACGACGATGATGATGGAGACCTTGAGCCCCCACCAGACCCGGATGTGCCCTATCCTGATTTGGCCCCCGTGGTTTTCTTCTGCTTAAAACAGACCACTAGCCCTCGGAGCTGGTGCATCAAGATGGTGTGCAATCCATATCCTTTCAAAGCTGTGTATTCTCCTTTCTAGCATTTCTCTTTCCTTGCTGTCCCCTTTTTGTCCTCCTGTCCTTGCAGAGCACCTGACAGGTAAGAGATGGCATTCCTTACATAGTTAATGAATCACTTTGTTCCCTGCTTGCATTTAAACAGTGCCTCAGCTGCTACTATATGTGATCAAAAAGAGCAGCCTCAGAAAGGGAGAACTTCAGAGAGAATGCCTGTCGGTCAGAATCAGAAAGACAGAAATGAGGGGCTGGAAGAAGAGCGGGAGAAAATGTATTTTCCCTTCATCTCTTTCTTTGCTTTTCTTTGCTACCAATAGCTTGAAAGCTTTAGAACATAGGTGGAAGTAGTGTTAACTCCATTCCAGGAGAATCTTCCATTGATACATCTATGGATTGTGCATGATATGATTACAGGCCATCTACCTACCAGATAGCTTATACACTATAGGTTATCTGGTGGGTATCATATCTAAAATTCCCCAAACCTGAAGAGTGGACCAGCATAGTCACTTTTGTAATAGGACACCACAGGGTCCGTAACTGAATGACAACTAGAAACCTGTGAAGGTGATGAGAATATTAGCCGCTCCCAAGTGTGGGTCTTTGTGCTTGGGGAGACCCTAACCTTTATTGGAAATGGGAAAAAGGGGCTTTACAGCTAATGTGGTTTGTGGAGAATATCTGTGTAGTCCCAACATTTCATTGTGCTTCTTTAGTTCCAGTAGATGAAGTTCCAGAACAGGTGAAACATGAGCCCATCTGACCTAACAAGCAATCTGTTCCTCCATCTGAATTTGTCACTTTGCTCACTGTTCTAAAACGATTTAATGTATGCTAGCCACTAAAACATAGTACGTATTTGCCCTGTTAAATTCACTTCATTTTTAGGGAGAAAAAAGAATCCTGAGGTAACATGCAGGTAGGATGCATGGGAGTAGAGGGCATACAACTTTGCTGCCTTCATCAGGAACTTATCAGAAGCATCACCTTATAGCTTGTGTCCCTTTATCATGCATTTCCCTCCTACATCATAGAGACTTAGTCTGAAGGAGCTGTTAGTAGATCTGGTCTTGGTATTAGCTTCATGGCTATAATCAGGCCAGCTTTCAGAGTGCACTAGTCTGTCACATTCATCCTCAACCTGTAAATCCAGACAGTACTTCATGGATTTGCAGTCTGCTTGTCATGTGTCTCCCAACTGTCCTGTCAGCACTGAAAATTGGAGAATTTCATGGTTACAGTAATTGTACTGGGAGTGCTTTGAGTAGAAACACTGAGCTGATCGCAGCAGTGATGCTATCTGCAGTTAGTGTATATCAGTGATGGTGAACCTTTTAGAGACCGAGTGCCCAAACTGCAACCCAAAACCCAATTATTTATTGCAAAGTGCCAACACTGCAATAAAAATTGAAAACTGAGGTTTTAGTTTAGAAAAAACAACTCACAGCCAGTCCAAGCAAATATATGTATATCCTTGTCAGCCCACTGACCAGCCATGTGAAAGCTCGGACAAGTCCTGGTTAATGAGTCGTGGCTTGTGACATCATCGCCTGGAGCTGTGACTCCTTTCCGAGCATGCGCATGGCCCCTATGTGCACTGTTATCTGATGCTTGGCTGCTGGGGAGATGTAGGGTGACTTGGCTCGCATGCTGACAGAGAGGACTCTGCTTACCAGCTGTGGCACGCGTGCCATGGGTGTGCCACCACTGGCCTGACCCTACCCTGGTGCACTTCCTAACCCGCCCCCGTATTGGTCCATATTGTATTGGTCCGCCCCCAGAGCCGGATAGATCCTGATGGATTCCTGAAAGCTCTGGGGGATTTTCCAGTTGACAAGGCTGGTGATCCTGTCGATGCCCTGGTTGAATTGTGGAATGGGGAGATGACCAGGGCTATTGACATGATCGCTCCCAAGTGTCCTCTCCCACCTGGCAGAGCCCGTTCATCTCCTTGGTATACACCTGAATTACAGGCGATGAAGCAGGTTGGGAGATGTCTAGAGTGTAGGTGGAGGAGATCACGGGGTGAATCTGACCGAACACACTTAAGAGCCCATTATCGGGCCTATGCTGTGGCGGTGAGGGCGGTGAAGAAGAAATTCTTCTCCGCTTCCATTGCCTCCTCACAATGCCGTCCGGCGGAGCTTTTTCGGGTGGTGCAAGGGCTGATACATCCAGGCCCGAAGAAAGATCTTGTGCCACCCTCGAAGGCCCGCTGTGATGACTCTGCCAAGCATTTCAGGGAGAAAATCGCTCAGATTTGCCACGAGCTTGACTCTGCTATTGAATCAGATTCTACTGGGGAGCCGCCATCGACGCCGTCGAGTCCACAATTAATGGATGAATTTCAGTTGTTGTGGCCTGATGATGTGGACAAGGTGCTTGGACAAGTACGACCTACCACCTGTTTACTAGACCCATGCCCATCCTGGCTACTTAAGAAAGCCAAGGACGGGATTCGGACCTGGATCCTGGAGGTGGTCAATGCCTCTTTAAGAGACGGTCGGGTACCGTCCTCTTTAAAAGAGGCAGTAGTCCGACCAGTCCTAAAGAAGGCATCCCTGGATCCAGAGGTGGCCGCCAATTATAGACCAGTGGCCAACATCCCGTTCCTGGGCAAGGTGCTAGAGCGGGTGGTGGCAGGACAACTCCAAGCACTCTTGGATGAAACTGATTATCTGGACCATTTCAGTCCGGCTTCAGACCCGGGTACGGCACTGAATCTGCCTTGGTCGCCCTGTACGATGACCTGTGCAGGGAGAGAGACGGGGGAGTGCATCGGCTTTCGATGCCATCAACCATGGTATCCTTCTGAATAGGCTGGCGGGATTGGGAGCTGGAGGCATCGCGTGGCAGTGGTTCTGCTCCTATCTCAACAGCCAATTTCAGAAGGTGGTGTTGGGGGACTATGGCTCTGCGCCATGGCAGTTATGCCATGGAGTTCCACAAGGGTCCATTTCCCCCCCACCCCCTTGCTATTCAACATCTACATGAAACCGCTGGGAGAGGTCATCAGGAGGTGTGGGCTGCGGAATCATCAGTACGCTGATGGTACCCAGCTCTACCTCTCGTTTTCCACCGATCCAGGTGAGGCAGTGGCTGTGCTGAACTGGTGCCTGGCTGAGGTAATGGGCTGGATGAGGGCCAATGAACTGAGGCTCAATCCAGACAAGACGGAGGTCCTGTTGGTGGGTGGTTTGGGACTCGGGATGGAGGACTTGGGCCTTGTCCTAAATGGGGTTGCACTCCCTCTGAGGGACAGGGTTCACAGCTTAGGAGTGCTCCTCGACCCTGAGCTGTCTCTAGAAGCCCAGGTGACGGTGGTGGTGAGAAGCGCTTTCCTTCAGCTTCGGCTGATCCATCAGCTGCGTCCCTTCCTGGAGAATGATTGCCTGGCGACAGCGACACACGCGTTGGTAACTTCCCGATTAGATTTCTGCAACACGCTCTACATGGGGCTACCCTTGAAGATGGTCCGGATACTTCAATTGGTGCAGAACAGAGCTGCCAGGTTGCTGACGGGGACTGGGCGTTGTTCTCATATAACCCCAGTTCTCCGTCAGCTCCACTGGCTCCTGATTGAAGTCCGGGCCCAATTCAAGGTGTTGGTTATGACCTATAAAGCCCTCAACGGCTTGGGCCCTGGGTATCTAAAGGAACGCTTGCGTCCATATATGCCCTCCCGCCCCTTGAGATCAGCAACAGTTGCCCTTCTCCGGGAACCCTCTGTGAATGATATTAGGAGGGTGAGTACCCGGAGGAGGGCTTTCTCTGTGGTGGCACCCCATCTATGGAATGTGCTCCCCAGAGAGGTCCGCCTGGCGCTGTCGTTATTTGTTTTTTGGCGCCAGGCTAAGACCTTTTTATTTAAAACTGATTTTAAGTGGTAATTTGTTGTGTGGGATTTTAAGGTTTTTAAGCCAAGATGCACCAGGTTTTAATATTTTTGTTTTTGTATAATTTTGTATATTTTTGTTTGGGTTGTAAGTGGCCCCAAGGCTTTGTTGCGATGGGGGCAGCATAAAAATGTTTTAAATAAATAAATAAATAAATAAATAACCCTAATATAGGGCTAAAATACCATTGAAAGGGGCGATTTTGAAAAAGCCTTCCTTGAGTAGCTTTTTCTGCACAGCTCAACATTTCTGCCCATGCTAAACAGATTCCAAATCATGCCAGGAAACCTCTTTTTTCTAACTCTAACCCAGTGATGGTGAACCTTTTAGAGACCAAGTGCCCAAACTGCAACCTGAAACCAACTTATTTATCGCAAAGTGCCAACACTACAATAAAACCTGAAAACTAGTTCAGGTTTTATTTCAGAAAAAACAACTCACAGCCAATCCAAGCATCCATCTCTCCCTCTCTCTCTCTCTCTCTCTCTCTCTCTCTCTCTCTCTCTCTCTCTCCTTGGCAGCGCACTGACCGGCCATGCGCATGGCCCCTCTGTGCGCTGTTATCCGATGCTCGGCTGCTGGGGCGATGCTGGGGTGACTTGGCTCGTGTGCCGACAGAGAGGGCTCTGCGGGCCCGCTGTGGCACGCGTGCCGTAGGTTTGCCACCACTGGTATGTATGAACCCCCTGCGAAGACTGTAGAAGATGGAAGGAGTTCTTTTCCCCACTGCCTCTTTATGCAGACCAAGCTTCTTTGTTCCTCCTGTTTCCTGTCCAGCAAAAGTTAATCAGTGTTCAACTTGCAGCAGCCAGAAGCCTCCAGAGAGCTTAAATTCTATAAGGACTAAGGCCTCTCACATAGAATGGTGGTCTACATAGCCAGGACACCACTTTTGTTTCTTTTGAGAAGCAAAATGTGTCTGTACAACGGACACCCTGAAAGCCAATTACACTGCCTGTGACATTGGGCTTCATTAGAGAGTCTTCATTTTAGGGCCTTGTCAACCGTCTAACTAATTGCTAGTTGATTCTATTATGCCTTTCAACCAATTTTTAAAGACTTATGTATTACCAAAACATCAGTAAAATGATTT